AGGAAACTACATTAGAACACAGATCAGAAATGAGTGTACTGTGGGCCCTTTTACAAAGGTTTGAGTCAGTAGTTTGAAGTTTGAAGTCAGTTGTGATTTGAACCCTGAGAGATGCTCATCTTCTCCGCAAAAGTCAATGTAGTGTGTCTGTGTGTGTGTGCGCGTGTGTGTGTTTGTGTGTGTGTGTGTGTGTGTGTGTGTGTGGGGTTGTGTGTGTGTGTGTGTGTGTGTGTGTGTGTGTGTGTGTGTGTGTGTGTGTGTGTGTGCGTGTGTGTGTGCGTGTGTGGGGTTGTGTGTGTGTGTGTGTGTGTGCCTGTGTGTGGGTGTGTGTGTGTGTGCGTATGTGTGTATGTGAAGTAAGTGAGATGGCTGGAAGTAGAGGGAGCAGGAAGTAGTAGCAGTCCCAGTTCCTGCTGTGGGCCGATGTGTGGACATGGATAGGCCTGTTGTGAGATGAATAGGCATACACTTGTGTTTGCCTATGTGTTTAGGAGAGTTAGTCGTACATGGGCAGAGGATAGGCCTAAATGTGGATGGATAGGCCTACATGTGGTATGGGGAATGGAACTCTCAAATAGAGATGTAATGAGACGCAAAGGCCTATGTACTAGTAGAGGTGGATAGGCTTATAGTATGTGGCTAAAAAGTAAGACCATAGACTGAACTGCTCCAGTTAGATGAAGCTCACTGAGGCCTGCAGTTACAGGACCAATTTGGACTTCCATATTAGGAAGAGGAATTGATTTATAGATCGGATCATGTAGAGCAGGTTCATTTTATAACCAAAACAAGGAGCCTGATGGCAGCAGTTACAGACAGAGGGGCACAAGAGGGGCAAGTGAGTTGGAGTTGAAGTCAGAATCGATGCAGCCTGAAGCGTGATGACAGGGTAAACCTACATGCAGATGGACAGAGGATAGACTGATGGACAGATGGTAAAGTATACATGTAGAAATGGGCCTAATGTGGAGAGAGGAAGTCCTGCATTTACAGGGATATCCTCGCCTGGTGCCTCCAGGCGAGTCTGGTGCCTCCAGGCGAGCCTGGTGCCTCCAAGCTTGCTGTCATGAGATCTTGGTGATACAAACAGAAGTGATGGTTGTAGTGTTTTTTCTGTTCCACTCCCAGCGCAGGAGGAAACTCATCCTGTACTTACAATAGGCTGTGTGACTGAGTGCATACAGACAGTGCTTCATATGTCGGTGTGTCCCACATGTGGGTGGTCAGTCAGAGCCTGTGTGGGACTAGGTGATGCCAGAGAGCAACTTAGAGTCATTTTGTCACTGAATTAAAGCAGTCCATTACACCACATCATATGACATGTTTGGAGCATTTCAATTGGTTGGGTGCTGGTCAGGGGGCGGGGTGAGCCTTTGTTTGGACAGCAGAGGGGAAATGAAAAACACAGTGTACTGGCACATCAAGGATATAATGTGGTTTAATGAAGCTCACACCATGTGACAGAGCTCAAATAAGACTCATCAGTCAGAGGTGGAAGAATAACAAAAAATGACTAATAAGTACTCAAGTAAGAGCAACTTAACTTAACTAACCCTAACAAAATAATATTACTTTGGTAGAAGTAGTAGTACTAGTCCAAGAAAGTAGTAAGAATAAAAATGTATTTGGGAAAATTACTCAAGTGAGAGCAAGTTCTGATTTATAATTTGAAGTAAATGTAACGTGAAGGACAAAACATTAAATAACATACAAACATTTCAAAGGGCAGATACAAAAATAAGACAAACTAAATTATATCTGAAGGAGCACTGAAGAAGGTATTGTGAAAAGAACAATTTCTTATATAAACTTACTCAAGTAAATGTGACTGTGCACTGTCCACCTCTGCATTTCATTTAGAAAGATAATACAAAATGAAAGAAAAATAGAGGCTATATCCCTGGAGCCCAGTTTCCTTCTGAGCCTAAACAGTCCAGACCTCAGTGTGTTTGACTCCGTTCACTGGATGAGATTTAGATGCTCCAGGTCCGGGAGCCCTCATAGAGCCTGTGTGTGATGTGTGCAGTCTGTGGTCACGTTCACAATGAAGGGCTTAAAGAGGGGAAAGTATCTGGAACACTAAACATATTGAGATCACCTCTTACTTTTGTTTTGAAAATGTTATATTTGACCAAACATGTTGAGCATTCATGTGTTTTATAAGTGTCATTTTTGTTGCTGATGCTCTGACTCCTCTCACACTTTGCTCTCCATACTAAGTCATCACCCATTCAGAGCGCTATCACAGCACAATCAACGTGCATCCCAATGAAACTACTGCACATCGCATCAGGATTGTGAAGTTGTTCTGTACAGTTTTGTGTAATGTTTTTGTATATTTATGGCGAATGAGCATTACACAGAATTGTACTATTAACCGTAACCAGGGTCAGGAAGGAGGGACTCTGGAGAGATCACTAAATTACTCAAACATGCACACACACACCCTAAACCAGTGTTTCCAAACCAGAAATTATTTCAAATAAATAAATAAAAATAAAGGTGGTACTGAATGCTATTTGAATGTAAAATATTCCTTGTAGAACATTTTTGTAGGATAATTGAGGGGTGTATTTTATTTAAAGAAGAAATTCTTGGTGGATATGTGCTGCCACCACCACAGATTTGTCGATTTTTTTCTGAAACTGTTTTATTTGTTCATTTATTTATTTATTTGTTATCTTCTTGCTTACTCAAACTCTGAGCGTGTTAAAAATAAACCTTTTCAGCAGGCAATAATAAAATAATAAATAATAATAAAAATACTTTTACTTTTCAATCCTGTTGAAAAATGTAGTAGAGTAGAAAGTACAGATATATGTTCTCAAATGTACTGAAGTAAAAGTAAAGTATCCACTTTCAAATGTAGCCTACTTAAGTAAAGTTCATACAAGATACTTAACATTTACTTTACTACTTTTACTTTGTGTCACCACTAATTATTACCTGCTTTGTTGGGATAGTACCTGTGGTAAATATGTATCATAGTTTTACTTCAGTTAAGTGGCAGTTTGTGGAAAGAAAATAGTAACATAAAATACAGGAAGTAGTGGTGAGTCGTAAAACACAATCCCTGTGCTGATGTCATCAACAGCCCTCAACTCCATCTACCGTGCAGACACAGTTTAAGCTCAAGGAAGACATGTTTCTGACAGTTCAAGTTTTGCTTTAACAGAATGAATGTGTTATCATTTATTTTTATTTGTCACATCACTGTTGTGTCATTTACAGGTTGCTAGGTAACATACCTCTACACGTCACATCTGCTGCCGTGTCCAACCAGGAAGTCAAACTCTAATCTCCACCAAAATTACAAAACTAGAAAAAACTGAGAAATATTTGTAGTAAAATCGTACATATGACCATGTTAACTGTGTTTTAGTAAAATGAGTCGTCTAATGTGTTTGCACTTTAAGTTTCAAACCTGACTGTATCTGCACTTCTGCAGCTGTTTCAATTTCAATTCAGTGTTTAAATCTGACTGGGCCTGTTCACACAGGTGCTGTTACGATACCATCGATACTAACAATACAAACTCAATGTAAATACTAATGAATAAACTCGATACAAACACCAACTCCGATACCACAATGATCATGAAAAACTATTGCAATAACAAGTGAATGTTAGATTATGATTTTCAGCATTCAGTGGTTGTAGGCCTATTTTCTTTTCTATTCCCATGTGTCCTTATGTGTGTAATGGTCAGTGGTGCAGTAGGTTCATGTTGGTCCGTGTGTGTATATTAGTCTATGTGCTCTGTACTTGATTTGATATAGCTCAAAATCATTTACAAACTATTCAGGAAACTTTCATTTCTGTCCTTCTGTCCTGTTCTGTCTGAGTTTTTATTTGGTTTATTTCTGCTCAAATGAGGATCTAGTTTATTTAGATTATTATTTGATTCTCGATACTTTTGACAACCCTACTTCACACTCACGTGAAAACATCAGATCCTGGTCCAACGTGGGGAAAAAGACCTGCAGCGTGAGCGTAGTGTACGTCTCCCTGTCCTGTGGCGCCCCCTGCCGGCTGAGCAGAGGGATCGACGTAGCCTTCTCGTACATTTGCACTGGCCAAATGCTGCATAGTTTAGGACAACATCTCACGCTTAAAGGTGCATTACGTAACTTTTGTGGCCTGGGGTCCGCCTCCCCCTTGTCTCCATGGAGATATATTTATTTGCCTGGAATGTTACGCAGTGTGGCCATAAACATAACTTCTCATTTGATACAGATATGAGCGTGACATCACGCTGGGGGTGTTCTACATGTCGGAATGTGCAGTAGTTTCCATGGTAACAATGCACAGATTAGGAAACACTACCAAAAAATTTTAAGACTGTCTGAAAACTGATGAAAAAATACAAAACACTGCGTTTTCTTACCTCTCACACCGTGTCTCTTCTTTTATATGTAAATCTTCAGATAAAACACTCGTTTATAACACAGCAGTAATTGTGTTAAAGTTGTTTAACGCTCAGTGTGTGTTGACGCGTGTTCGACAAGCCGCAGCGGTCAGATCTGTGGAGAAGCAAGCATACTCACTGAAGGAGTGCATGATTTTCAAAGAAAACAATAAAAAATACCTGTAAGTGAATGAATACAGCATAGATATGTTGAACCATACACTGGAATATTCCAGGCAAAACAATAACATCTCCATGGAGACAAGCAGAAACGTTACACGTTACACCTCCAAGCGTTTCGAAAATGACTGAAGGACCTATATCACACAAAATGAACTCCTGTGAGCTTTGAGGCATGTTAGAATGTTGTTAATGCTCCAAAAACATACCTGGAAGTGAATTGTGACGTCATGTAGTGGTCGTATTCAAGTGTCTATCTTTTACCTTTAGAGCTCAGGGGCCCTCAGGCGTGGGGCCTTGGTGGGACGGTGTGTGATGCCCTCTGGTGGTGGCACACTAAACACTGAAAGAGAGCAGTGTTGACCCACGTGACAAAACACTGTCCAATCACATTGTTATGTGCTGGTGTCACATGACCGCGGGTCTCCACTGCGCTGGGACCTGGATACGGTTTTCTCTTGTTGTTTTTTTTGTTTTGTGGACTAAAAATCCGAAGTGTGGCGCCGGTGTGGATGAGAGCGGACTAGAGTCGGTGACGGTCATATTGTACCGGTGAGTTATGGAGGTTGTGGTTTTACAGAATGGCGTGCGCATTTTTAGGATCAGGAGAAAACTCGTGTAGTGTGAAGGCTCAGGGGCATAACATGAGTGAGTTATGAAGATCTCCGAGAGAAGATCATGATCAGTGGTGGAACGTAACGAAGTACTTGTAGGCCTAGTACACTTCTGTGCTTAAATAGCTTAGTATCTGTCTTTACTTATGTACAGTTTAGTTTGGATACTTTTGGATTTTACTTCACTACAACTGAGCAGGTCTCTGTACTTTCTACTCCAGTACATACAAAAGTAGCCTACTTTTTGAGGGGTTTGTTTTCACCATGTTTGTGGTAACATGCTGACTAAAGGTACTGAGTTGAAGCCTCTTTGAGCAAACGAAAAGAAATACAAAAAATTCATGAGGAAATTAAGAAATGGATTTGTGTAGTTTTTTAATCAATCGCTTTTCTTTTTTTTTAAATCCATATCTCAGATTTTGATAAATTGTCAAAAACAATGTGAAATATGTTTACTTTTTAGTAAAAGTGAAAGTACATTCAAACCGGTACTTAAATATGTTTACAAACTGCTGTATTTTACTTTTACTTGAGTAACAATCTGTATCTATAGTTTTACTGAAGTAACAAAACTGAATACTCATTGTACCCCAGGTTTGGTTCTCCTGGTCACCCATGAGCACCTGTAGGCAGTGTTGGGAAGTAATTGAATACATGTACAGTACACATGTATTTTTCTTTCCTAATTTAAAGGAACAGTACTTCATGCATAATATTAGTGTTAGAAAAATACAGTTGGTAAATGTGTGATGATTTATTTATTTTTTTACACTATGATATATTGTTACCCAGTGTACAAGTTTTCAGAGTATTCATAATACAGTGATGACTGGACATTACACAATACAAAAATACATTTTAATTTAGGTATTCCATATTCTGTAACTAAATAAAAGTATTCTATAAAAAAAATAAGTATTCTTTACATCACAGCCTATAGGAGCACGTATAGTAGCAGCCCATGCACAGAAGAAGGAAGTGTGTGCCTCACGTGGTTTATGAGACTGCTGTCGCTGTCTTTTATTCTTATTTTTATGCAGAGGAAGGATCAGCCGTGACTAGTGACCACAGCTGACTCCTTAAGCAACTATCACATGACTTTACAGCAGGGACTAGGGCCTTTGGGTGCCGTGTGTTTGGGTGCAATTTAACCTACAGCAGAATTAAAGGTCCTATTACACAAAATTAACTCTTGTGAGCTTTTAGCCATGTTACAATGTTGTTAGCTCCTTAAAAACAGACCTGGAGTGGTTGTGTTTAGTTTCATTCACACATGTTTGAGTCAACATGGAATATTACTCTGTCAACATCCCCAAGTTTAAAATGCTCTGTGCTACCTTGTGATGTCATGTAGTGGTAGATTTCAAGTCAACAGTTCCTTTTACTTTAGTTCAGTAGAGATGGGCAATTCCAGGAGTGAAATCATCAAAATGTTTCTAGTAAAACCTCTGGAGTTTAAAAACACAGTGCAGCACTTCCTGTATATATCCTTTATGTACCACATGACATCACAAGGTGGAACTGAGAGAAGAGCTCAGCCTAAATATGCAGGGTTTGTGTGTTAAACCTGTAAGAATGAAACAAAACACAACTCCATAGATCAGAAAATAGTGTAATATAGGCCCTTTCTCTCTGCCTTTGTGATAAAGCTGTGTGTCTGGTGTGTGCAGCAGTGTTGGGCGGGCTGATCCGAGGGCTGCTGCGCTGGGCTCTGGAACCTTCTCTTTGTCTCTGTCCCTCTCACTGAAACCCATGTGAATGAAGAGTGGGCTTCTGCAGCTTTAGGGGCTACAACTATTCTATCTCCACAAACCCACGCATCTCCATACTACAGACACCTCTTTAGGGCTGCAAGATTATTCCCAGGCAGATGGAAATTGGAATATGAATGGATACAATTAGCAAAATAGAGTAAAACAGCAGATTCTAATTACTGTATTTTCCGGGCTATTAGACCTCCAACCCCATCAAAAAACGACTGCATGCTCCACAGTCAGAGCGTCCTATACACGAATCCACTCGTGTGTCCCAGCATGACTTCAGTAAACTACAAAGCCACACCACCCACAGAACACACAAACACACACGGAGCAGATAGCAACCGCACAGCCAAAAACACCCACAGACACACTCATCACTCCACGCCGACGAGGAACGGAAGGAAGGAACGAACCGAAAAAGCGAGTGCAATGTGCCACTTCTAGACACAACTGAACAACTGAGTCACTGCGAACACGCCGACAATCCGTTGGTCCCAGACAGCACCCTCCCTACACGCCACAACTGAACAAAGCCCAGAGTCACCGTGAACGCCACAAACAAACCAAACCACTCACCCATCACACTGTTGGGTTTCCTTTAAAGTCCAGTGTGGTTTGTTTGTGAAAAAAGTTTGAAAATAGACCATTTAATGACAGTGCGTCTTATAATCCAGAGCACCTAATAGCCCGGAAAATACGGTAATGCTAAGAATAGGATTGAAACTAGATACTCATTTGAGCAGTTATCAATACTAAAAAGCCTCATTGATAGGACAGAAATGAGCCTTCCCTGAATGTGTTTAGAATGATGTTGAGCTGTATCAGAACAAGTAAAAAAGCACATAGACTAATAAACACACATGGACACTATGAACCTACTGGACCACTGAGGATTATATAAGACACATGGGAATAGAAAAGAAAGTTCTACCATTTAACGTTGAAAACCACATTCTATGGTCTAAATAAAGTGTTTGTTATTATCATCGTGGTGTCGGAATTGGCATCAAGTATCGAGTCTATTCCTTAGTGTCAAAATTGAGTTTGAAATTTTAGTATTGTGATTGCCTTAACCTTTTTTAGTTCAACAGTTATTGTACCTTTTGACCAGGGGTAGGCTTTTTTTTTTTTCCATGGGGCCACATGAGAAACAGAAATTATTTCGGAAGGCTGTGCCAAAATGCTTATCTCAATTCTGCATAAGATCAATTGTATTTCTTTATAAAAAGCTGTAAATCACAGTGATGCCGCTGTGGTTGCTCCTACAGAGTTGGGCTCCTTATCCCAGGCCGTGAGCCCAGTAGGTACAAATTTAGATAATAAAAGACAATGACAATGAAAATACAGGGAGTGCAGAACACAGCCGCCTTTTAACAGGATCACATAAATTTGACCACACATCCCTCGTCCTTCAGTCTCTTCACTGGCTCCTGGTGCACCTTCACAATGATTTTAAAACTCTTTTATTTCCTTTTAAATGCCTTCATGATATAGCCCTTCAGTATCTGTCAAGCTCAGGTCTGCTTTTGACAGTACTTGGGCGTACTGTTGTCGTTGAGCTGCATTCTGAACATATCAAAGCTGCACTCTGATAGACTGATTCTATTTCAGGTCCTCCTACGCTGCTGGTCCCTTATGTGTTTCTTGTGTTAACCCTGTGAGTGTGTAAACATGACGGAGGATATCCCATACAAACAGGTGAGCTGCTGATCTCTCATTCAGCGCATACTCTAATGTACAGATCTGGTTTAGCTTTTGAAGAGGAGGTATTACATTTCTTTCATTTCAAGTACATTTCTTGGAGCTATCTATCATGTTATAACATTGTTCCCTCATCAAAAACACGCCTGAAGAAATTTTAGATGTCACCCATGCATGTTTGAGTAATTTAGCAATCTCTCCCGCACATCACCCAATCATAGCAATTCTCCATAAATATATAAAAACATGATACAAAACTGTACTCAGCAACTTGACAAACTTGATGTGATGGGTAATACCGTATTTTGCACACTATAGGGCACTCTGCATTATAAGGCGCACTGTCATTGAATGGTCTATTTTCAAACTTTTTTCACATATAAACAGCACCGGACTATAAGGCGCATTAGACCAAACACAACAGTTGGATAAGTCAGTCCAACTTTATTTAACGCATTCACAATAACTCTCAACTTTGTTCAATTGTAACACGTAAAAAAAATCCTGTCTGAGACGCTAAATTGTTGTCATATTCAAAATAAGTCATAATAGTTCAAACAGCTGGGCGATTCCAGCGTCAACACGCCCACATCCCTCTGTCATGATCCGAGTCAGTGTGGTTACTGTTCCCTGGCAGTTCAGTGATTGGTGAATGGGTGTTCTCCTTCTCTCATCCACTGCTCCCATGCAGCTCACACTTTCACTTTAGAACAGCCTTGAGTTTAAAGTGGGCGTTGTGAGCGTGTCTCTTGACAGGAGCATTTTAATATTAAAAAGAATCACAGTATGTATTACTCTTGATGCTCCTGACTACGGGAGCTGGAATGCTGAAAGTGGAGCGGCTTTGTAGTTTACTAAAGTCGTACTAAGACACACAAATAAATTCATATATAAGGCGCTCTGGATTATAAGGCGCACAGTCATTTTTTGATTAAATTAAAGGCTTCTGCATTATAGGGCGCACTTAGCCCTATAATGCGGAAAATACGATAGTTTCATTACAGAGATGATTGTGTTGCAATAGAGCTCTGAAAAGACAGTGACTTAGCATGGAGAGCAAAGGGAAAGGAGACTCACAGCATCAAAAACAAAAAAAACTTATCAAACATGTTAATACATTGTTTTCAGCAAATACAGCATTTTCAAAACAATAAAAGATAACATGGTGACCTAAATACAGTATGTTGTGTGTTGCAGTGAATCCACCATAAAAGATCCCCTCTTTAAAACAGATTTATTATTGTTAAGGCAGTTTCTGGAGGTGATTAAAAGCGTTGAGTGTGTGCTTGTGTTTCAGCTGGGAGAGCAGCAGGGGTCCCAGAGGAGAGCTCCATGGGTAGGTCTGCGCACCATCACCTCAGGCCCTAATGGTCCTTTGGCACCAGCACCTCCGCCTCCACATTCAAGATTACTGTGTTCTTTTAGCTGATTATATCCTCTGCTCTTGGGTCTGATGGAACTGTTGATGACCTCCCAAAATGTGCAGGGGACTCATTTATGAAGAGTTTGTACATTAGTAATACCCGATACTGACATTGGTTTTGAATATCAGCGAAAAAAAAAATAAAAATAGCTAGATCCGGTTTTATTACATACTGTAGGTTCAGCTAATATACTGGTTGGGCCTTTAATCGGACGTAAAAAGAATCATATCTACAGACTGATTTTGGCTTAAAACGTCTCTTAATGTTTGAACTTTATTTTATTTATTTATTTAAAAGTAGTGCACAGAAAACATTCATCTCAGAGAGAAAAGATGCTCTGTGCCAGATTTAGCTACAAGCTGCTTTCTACCTGCACTCCTTCCGTTAATGCAAAGAGTGTAATAAGAGAATAAGCCTGTTACTATAATTTTGTAAAAGTGGGGAGAATTTAGTTTCAATAGAATAAGATTTGAGCTGTAGAAGGTTGAGTAACCGACTTCTCTGCCTAATTATTGGTTCATTCTGTTATTTATTTGTTGCAGCTCATGTTTGAATTTTATTACCACAGTACATTTCTATAGCAATATATCGTGCTTCAAGATTTGTTTTTGTGGCAGGCCTATTCACCTTATTCTGCCTCGCCCACATTTGTCTCTAAATGCTCCTAACCCACACTTTCCTGTGGTGGCACTTCGGTCAAAAAGAGATCCCATTCATGTCAAAGGCGAAAAGTTTTGCAGATTAAATCTGATATAAAGTCGGTTCATTTATGTAAAATGTTCAGTGTTCATGTCACCAACAAGTCAACACAGATTTTCTGGAGACTTCAAAAGGACTTCTTAGTCCATATTGAACTTCTTTACTGTTTGGATTGGCAGCTCCATGTGAAATAATATAACCCAAATGATGATGGTGGCGCCCACAGCATCTTCCAGAATAAGGTGAATAAGTTAACTGTGTTTTTAAAAAAATTAAATTCCATTTCCTGTGTCCATACACTGGAAACGGTTAATATCTGGTATTAGCAGATACTGAGTCAAAGTATCAATATTGGTATTGGAACTGAAAAAGCAGTGCATCCCTAATGTACAAAATGTAACATACATGACTTTCTACATCCTATCCAAAAACTCTCAGAGATGAAACAAGCATCTGAGTGTAGTAGTGGAGCTTTTAAGGACCAAAATAGTGCACAGTTGTTCACTTTTATGGTACAAGCATGAATTTTGCCAGATTATTTGCTGGATGATGTGCTTATGACCTGAGTCAAAACATAACCAGTTGGGCTGATAACGGAACAGAAGAGTCTATGATGGAGTATGTGAAAATTCTTACCAAAACTGAGACATTTTCATGTTCTTTCTTATAAGTTGAGTTTCATCAAGTACTTCTGCTTTCCCAGAATCACATGCTAAAATGTTGATAGTGCAGACATCACTTTACATTGTACCTTCTGTGGCATTTACCACAGCACAGTGCTCATTTCTGTGTTTTTTAAGGCCGACACTTGAACCCCAAACACTGTTCTTTGATCAGTATTTGGGTTTAAGCCTCTTTTCCATGCAGCATTTAATTATCATTATGAAATATGATATGGTGCTTACTGCTTACAGATCTTTAGAGATGGTTAAATATTTTTTGTTAAAAAACAAAAAATATGGCTTTGAAAGATAAAATATTTTATTAACTTGGATTTCAACCACACAACCCTTACATTCTGGAGGAAAACGGTCACGTGACCTCCTTAATGCTTTGGATTTTATGAAAAATATTTGTTACATTACAAAATGGATAACTAAGCAAATTAGACTATCAGAAAGGGATTATGCAGTGTTTTTTTTTTTTTTTATGCCAGCCTCGTTTTCATGTAGTCCATTTTGTCCATTGCTGGTGCCACAGGTCTGTGTGAGGAACATCACTAGAATAACTGCGCTATTGATCATATTGAGTTGCCACAAGGATCACATCACAAAGGCTGAAGTTCTTTAGATCATAGTCAAATACGCTTTTGCAAAGTATTATATTAAAAAATCCTGTTGTACCTGTAGTTTAGACCTCTACAAACATGTTCTGACATAATTCTTTCTTGGGTTCTTGGATTAGTATAAAGTTCAGATTTCAGTTTTCTCTCAAATGTGAATGCTCATGCAGTCGATATTGTGCTAATTTCTGATCTATGTTATAAAGTCGTTTCCTCATCACAGACAGGCCTGGAGTTGTGTAACACACAAACCCTGTAGATTTAGACTGAGTTCTTCTCTCAAACTCAAAAGACATCACAGTTCCTCCTTGTGATGTTTAAACCTCATATGCCATAGAATCATTTGCAAATCTATATTGCAAATCAAAATCTCAAAAAGTGTTTGTAAATCACAATCCATTTTTCCCATAATTGTACAGCCTTAACCACCAGAGTAAATGTGTGCTGAGAAGTGTAATGTTGACCTGGTGCTAGTATAAAAAGTGTAACCCAGTGAACATGTCCCTGTAGAGTCTTTGTGCTCTGCTGATGCTGCTCCTCCTGCTCCTCCTGCTCCTCCTGACCATCATGGCAGTGCTCGCCCGCCTGACCCTCCAAGGGACCACGCCATCCATCCACTGGGGTGAACCGCCCTGCTCGGACCCCTGCAGGTAACAGAACCACACATGTAGAACTGCCTTTTCAGTCATTTCAGTTCAGCTATGCCCAGATGTGGCTAGAATAGCCAAGCATTGTACTCAAGTAAGGGGAATATGTGGACAAGAAGTTTAACTGTGGTCTCAGGTCTCAGGCAGGCCTAGAACCAGGAAGAGTAGGATCTTCTTTTCAATGTTCCACTAGCAACCATGGTTGCTGATTGATGGTTGTTCCACCAGCACCATCTAAAACGTGGGAAAAAATAGACGACTTCCTGCAGCAAACTGTTGCAGTTTTGCCCAGCAGCATTTACACTGTGCGTCTCAGCGGGCTTTGTGTCTCAGAGGCCTCAGTGCAGTTTAACAGGAGGACTGGTCAGGATGTGTCCTCCTCTGTGTCCTGCAAAATCACAGCAGTGTCCAGGGGGAACCAGGTTAACACAACAGGAAAGGCCCCACTCTTACTCCACTCTGTTGTTTCGGTTGGTGACAAAATGATCCATTACTTCCTCTGCCACATTTGCTGCCACACATGATGTAAAAAGCCTGTAGCATCTCAAATGTTCAGAAATACCTACTCTAACAGTCTCTTGTGGCAGAACACCTTCAGAGGAAATACTCTGAGGGAATGAAAACATTTGCTGCCACATATGATGTAAAAAAAAAATTTAGCAACTCAAATGTCCAGAGGTAGCTCCTTAGCAAGCCTCTTACACAGTCTCCAAAATTCAACACACCCTTACTTTGTGTCCTGATAACTGCACAAGCTGCACTTCTTAGTTTGTTAGAATTGCATGATATGATTTAAAAAACAGAGCTCAAAAAAACAAAAAGTTTCAAAAGCTGCTCAGTGTGAGTCAGGTAGGCACAAAAGCAGCTAACTACTCTGTTACTATGGGGGGAAAAACGGAGTAAACTGAGTGATTAATGTCACGATTCAAACTAATTGAGTCCATAATTATGACAATGGTAAAAACCCAAAGTGTCACCTCCTTTTTCGTCCTTCTGTAGCGTGAGGCTGGACTGGTCCCATTGGTGGCTGCAGTAGGCTAATTAGCAATAGTCCATATCATATGTAACTGAGAAGAAACCTTTAAAGGCTCTGGGCTGTTGGGCATGTTGTGTGCACTTTATCCAGTGGTTGGCATAACATACTGTATAAAGCTGAAAGGGTTGCCCATGCACATATCTGTTTCCTTTGGCGTTGCTGTGCTTGGTACAGTTGGAGCACGCCTGTGTGTCTGGACACTCCGGTCTCACTCGCTCCAAGATGTCCCATAACTCTGCTTTATATTTTGAGCCTCAGAGGTTTATGAACAGCCTCTTGTTTTAATTTAATGCCTTCTCATAAAAGGCCGTAAAAATGTTGAATCCACATGTGCGTTGTCATATTGTGGGCTTGTGTGAAAGCTTACATATTTCCAGGATTTGCCTGTATTTAGACTTGTGGTCTTTCTCAGTTTTGTGCTGGTGGAGAGCATCCCAGAGGGGCTGATCTTTAACTCCAGCTCCACACACCCAACCATCTCCCAGACCTGGCAGAAGCTGATGAGGGAGGCCACCAGCAGCCTGGACATCGCCTCCTTCTACTGGACCCTCACCAACAGGGACACAGGAACTCAGGACCCGTCTGCTGTCCAGGTGAGACAGCATGTTTACCACTCCACACATAGACTATTGATCTACAAAGGACATGACCTGAACAGTAGATCATAAATTACAATATGATCATTGTTCTTAATATCATAAGAAGTGTAAGTATGCACACATCACTGGTGCTATTCTACAACAGTGAACATGGAAAACGAGACAGAGACAGAGCGTGTGCACTTACTGAACTGAAGAGCTACTGGTCCAAAGGTTTTCATTCATTAAATGCAGTTTGGGAGCAGCAGAGCTGCATGATGTGGAAACAGCCTGATCTGATGTTCAGGTCAGTAAGTGTGCAGGCTTTGTCTTTTTTTCAATTGCTAATAACAAAGGCTGTAATGGAATGGTAATAAAAAGTAAAATCAGCAACAAAAAGATTTGTATTTTTGTATTGTAATAATACAAAAATAAGAATAATGAATTGGATTTATATGGGTTTTTTTAAGGTACCCATCGTGCTTTATATTGTATTATGGTTTCAGACTGAAGAAGGTGAGGCTGCCAGTCCGTGCCATCAACCTTGTTAACCACCAACAGTCAGACACACACCACAATAATTCTAGGCAATATGGGTGTGGTAAAGTGTCTTGCCTTAAGGTCACAACAACACTGCTGCTCCAGTATTCCACCTGCTTTTCCCACTGGGGTCCTGTCCCATTGCCTTTTGTTTATAAAGCTCTAATTTGTTTGCCTGGGATGCAGAATACACTCTTCTTCAGTACTTGTGAGTCTAGTCACCGGTGACTCTCAGATAGGTGTGATTGACAGGTGGATTAGCCAATTATGAACATGCATTGGCCATCTATATAAAAACAATTTCAAAACATTTATTCAGAATCAGTGAGTGAAGCACCAAAGTCTGTTAATCTAAAAATCATCTGTGACCTACGAGCTCCTTCGTCTCACACGTGCTACTGAAAAAGAACAATCTTATGTGTGGACGTGGGTCACAGACTCACATGCCTCTGTATAAAACACACACAGATCATTCTGAATTTGACAGGCCTTTAATTGGTACCTTTCCTGAGGTAACAGGTATGCTGCATGTCTGGGCATGTCTCTGTCTGACTGTTGTCCCTTTAGCTGGTGCAGTCCCCCCTGCAGACCACAGTCTCGTACAGGGCAAACATCTGCAGCAGATACAGTGTGCACTGGTAGCACATGCTGACATGCCTTTCTGTGTGTTCTGTGTTAGGGGGAGGCTGTGCTGAAGGCTCTGGCTGACCTGTCTCCAAAGCTGAGTGTACGCATCGCTGTGAACTCAGCCGAGAGTCTGCCAGCTAACCTGCAGCTTCTCCAGCGTGCAGGTACATCAGGGCTTGGGGTCAGGGTTTTGGGGTTAGGGTTTACAGGTTTCACACAACCTGCAGCTGCCCAGGTAAACAGAGCTTGTGCTTGGGCATATTATCGAAAAAAAAAAAAAAAAATATATATATATATAATATATATATATATATATATATATATATATATATATATATATATATATATATATATATATATATTGAAAAAAAAAGTGAAGGTCCTGTGAAAGCCTGGATGGTAGGTCAGTGTTAATTTACATCAAGCCACATGTTTCAGATTTGTCACCAGTATGTGTGACATAACAATACAATGTCAGTTATCATGTAATGAACATTTGAACAGCTGATATATTATATATTATATAGTTTTGTTTTTAGAAAGTAGTACTAAATGGACTCATATTACACTATTTTCTGTTCTATGTTATAATGTTTACTCATCAAAAACATACCTAGGACTGTGTTCCACCTTGTGATGTCATGTGGTAATACAGGAAGTGTTTTTAAACTCCATACATCTTCAGTAGAATCATTTGGAGAATCTTCAGAAATTTCCAATCTGTACTGAACTTAAGGTAAAAGGTACATAGCTGTTAACTTGGAAATGTAGATAGATACATCTCCAGAACAGATATGTTTTTGAGGATTCTAACATGGCATTCAAACATGACTTATAGCTCACAAGAGTCACACAGCACCGTCCCAGCCCCAGGACACTCCGTCTGGGTCATTGTAACAGTTTCACCATCATCTTCACTTCAGGTGTTGCTTCTGGTGGGACATGGGTTTGTGTATTTGTGCTGTAGGAGCTCAGGTCAGGACTGTGAACATGAAGGAGCTCACCTCAGGGGTTCTCCACACCAAATTCTGGGTGGTTGACAAGAAACATGTGTACATCGGCAGTGCCAACATGGACTGGAGATCCCTCACACAGGTATCGCTCTCAGTTTGTCACTGTGGAGGGACACTGATATCTGAAAGAGTTCATGTGAAGGTCTTCTATGCTGGGCTGTAGGTAAAGGAGCTGGGAGCTGTTGTGTACAACTGCAGCTGTCTGGCTGCAGACCTGGGGAAGATCTTTGAGGCCTACTGGTATGTGGGACAGAGCGAGTCTATTCCCTCGTCATGGCCCAGCAGCTTCTCCACTGACTTCAATCAGGACTCCCCAATGAAGCTGCAGCTCAACCGCTCCGAGGCCAGTCTCTATCTGTCGGTAAGACTCACAGCGTAAACATGTGTGCTTCTCTCTGCAGTATCAAAAATTTTAAAAATCAGATACGAATCTATACCAAAACTAGTATTAAAACTAGATAATCCCTGACATCAACAACTAAAAATGAACCTCTCCTGAGCTTTAGAATCATCTAGAGCTGTATCAGAACAAGTATAAGAGCACTGACCACTGAGAGATTACACACATATAAGACCACATGGGAATCTAACTGTTCTACCATTAAATTATGAAAATCACATTATTGTCTTAAGAAAGAGTATTTCTACTGAGTATCGTGTATATTCTTTATTACTGAAATCAAGTTGGAAATTTTACTATCATGACACCACTGTGACCTGTTCTCCTGCAGAGCTCGCCCCCCTCCTTCTGTGCATCTGGCAGAACCTCCGATCTTCAGGCCATCCTTGGTGTGATCGAAGATGCTCATAGCTTCATCTACATCGCGGTCATGAACTACCTGCCCACCATGGAGTTCTCCCATCCCAAGAAGTGAGCTCTTATTTAAAGTGCCTATATTTTTTATCTCTGTTATAATATTGTTTCCTCATCACAAACACATCTGAAGTTGTTTTTTATTCCATTCACACATGTTTAACACGCAAACCCTGCATATTAAGGTTAAGCACTTCTCTTAAAATAAAAACACTCCTCTGTGTTTTTAAATTCCATACACCTTCGTTAGAATAATTTGGATCATTTCAGCCCTGGATTTTTAAGTTACACCTATTATTTTAGCCTCATTAAAGCTACTTCATGTCTTGGCAGATATTATCCAGCAGATATTAGAGACTTTCCATCAGACTCTCAAAATGCTCTGTTCCCCTTGTGATGTCATTAAGTGGTAGTTTTCTTGTTAATAGCTCCCTTTTACCTTTAGTTCAGTAGAGACTGGAAATGCCAGATCTGAAATGATCCAAATTATTTTAGTGAAGGTGTTCAGTCTTAAAACACATTGGAGCACTTCCTGTATTACCATATGACATCACAAGGTGGAACAGACTGTTTTCTGATTGAGAGAAGAACTCTTCCTAAATATGTAGAGTTTGTGTGTTAAGTGTGTGTGTGTTTGTGTGTGAATGAAAGAAAACACAACTCCCAGACATGACAAAAGATAGATCAGAAGATAGATCAGAAGATAGCTTAATATAAGCTCTTTAAGTGAACAAGTAAGTGAAGTAAGTACTTTTTAGCCATGTAACGTTTTAGCCATGTAACTTTTACTTGAGTATAAAGTTTCAGTTGAACCAGCACTGTTGAACCTCCTTCAGTAAAACATATCCATCAGCATCATGTAGACAATGCCCATCTGCTAATGCAGGCATGTCCAAACTATGGCCCGGGGGCCAAATGTGGCCCTCAGACAAATTTTTCTTGGCCCTCAGACGTCCAGTTGAATTGGCCCAAATTACCTTGCAATAATTTAAAAAAAAATTTTTAATGCAAGTTTTTTGAAAATCTACCTTGATAAAGCCAATATTGAATATTTAGTGTTTGGTTTTAAGGATCTTAGCAGGAATAAAGACTGATGGTTCATTCTAATGTGTTAAACCTGCACATATTTAAATTATTCACTGTATTGAGCATCAGTCTACGTCCCTTGATCGGCCTCTGCTTCATCTGTGTTTAGATTTGTGGCCCTTGTTGAAAAAAGTTTGGACACCTCTGCTTCACTGTTGTGTGCAGGTACTGGGCCAGTATCGACTCTGCCCTGCGGAGGGCGGCGTACGAGCGGCGTGTGGCGGTGCGTCTGCTTGTCAGTTGCTGGGCCAGCACCTCACCCATCATGTTCCCCTTCCTCCGCTCTCTGGCCTCCTTGCAAGAGCCACGGAGCAAACTGGACATCCAAGTGGTGAGCTTACCTCCGCAAGCTCTCCACCCGTGTGTGGAGCTCTGACATGCAGCTGTGCGTGGGGCGTGGAGCGTGTTGCTGTGCGTGGAGCGTGTTGCTGTGGGTGGGGTGTGTTGCTGTACGTGGAGCGTGTTGCTGGCGTGTTGCTGTGGGTGGGGCGTGTTGCTGTACGTGGAGCGTGTTGACGTGCATTTGGCGTGTTACTGTGCGTGGGGCGTGTTGCTGTGCGTTTGGTGTGTTGCTGTGCGTGGGGCCTGTTGCTGTACGTGGGGCGTGTTGCTGTGTGTGGGGTGTGTTGCTGTACGTGGGGCGTGTTGCTGTGCGTTGGGCGTGTTGCTGTGTGTGGGGCGTGTTGCTGTACGTGGGGCGTGTTGCTGTGTGTGGGGCGTGTTGCTGTGTGTTGGGCGTGTTGCTGTACGTGGGGCGTGTTGCTGTGTGTGGGGCGTGTTGCTGTGTGTTGGGCGTGTTGCTGTACGTGGGGCGTGTTGCTGTGTGTGGGGCGTGTTGCTGTGTGTTGGGCGTGTTGCTGTACGTGGGGCGTGTTGCTGTGTGTGGGGCTCTGATGTGGAACTATGAGTTGTTTTGCAGAGGCTGTTTGTGGTGCCTGCGAGTCCCGCACAGAAGGAGATCCCCTTTGCCAGAGTGAACCACAACAAGTACATGGTGACAGACAGAACAGCCTACATAGGTATGTATGTATGTATGTATGTATGTATGTGTGTATATGTATGTATATATGTCCCGTATGTATGTCCTATATGTATGTATGTCCCGTATGTATGTCCTATATGTATGTACGTATATATGTACATATTGTATGTACTGTATGTATGTAGATTCTAGAATGTAATGTTGTCATACTCCCAGATGGGGGAAAGACACAGTTCTGCCTGTTTACATTGTAATTTTTGTTGTGGATCATTTCTGTTACTGACTAAACCAATACTTATATATATTATACTTACTTACTAATAATATTACAACAAAATGATGCATTTTAACAATGTTTATTTCACATCTGCCCCACATCTGTATTAAGTATGATCGGAATGTAGAATGTTGTGATGTCATCTGAAAATCAAATAACTAAATACAACTGAATACTAAAACTTGTTCTGATACTTCATTAATAATATAATTCATGAAAATTAGACTGTCTTTATCTGTATCACAACAGTCCAGAGCCCATATGGTAATAACAATTACTATTATTTGGTGTCAGTTAATGCAGTTTGATTGAAATCTGTATCAGGCAGCTTTTCCTTAGTATGGACATAGAGAGTGGCATTTTGATATCGAAATAACATTAATACTATATGCTTTGTATTCATCAGAACTTTGAGTATGCTCATGTTATGTGTGGAATGTGTTGTGTTTTTCTCTTTCTCTTACTGCCCATTCACACAACGCTCCCATACTAAAGAAACTCCAATGATCGGAAATGAACACACAGGACTCTAAATGGACAGGGGTTAGGAATTTGATCTGAGAGATTCCGAGTGATTGTTGGTGCAACTGTACAGCCTTTACATTTTGTTGCTGTTGTAGTTCATTAATACCTCATCTTCTCATGTCTACTGACAATTAAAAGTGACCTGAAGCACATATTAAATATTAAATGTTAGTGTTAGTTGGTAATTATTGAGATCACATCAGGTGCTGTTCCTGATATTTACACTCTGAAAATTGTGAAAAACAGAATTAGTTTATTTTAAATGTTTTGCAGTGGTCCATTTATTCTTCACTTACCTTCTGCATTCAGAGCATCCTAATTCTTCACTGTCAGAAACCACAGCGGAGTTTTGCCATGAGTGTGAAGCTAACAACTAACATGCTAATGCTTTCTAATTAGCCGCATGCAGCAGAGTTATTTTGAGCTGCAGGAGCTGCATATATATGTGTACTGGGGTAGGACACATTTTACTCAAAACACATGTTAAAGAGTTGGGTATAGGACCAAACAACTGCTATTCACATTATGTCATATTTCACCTTTCCTCTAGTATGTGACCAGCTTTATGACATGAAACTTTCTGAATGAAAATGTTAATGCGACAAAAACATAAAATAAAAAAAAATAATAATAAGACTGGTTGGCTTTCCTTTTTTGGATAATAGATTGAATAGATAGTCCTTACTTTATATTATTTTATTTTGCAGATATATTGGTTGTAATTTGTGTTCTTTCTCCCAGGGACGTCCAACTGGTCTGGGGATTACTTTGTGAACACAGCGGGTGTGGCTTTGGTGGTACAGCAGCCGTCACTTTATGCACGAGCTTCTTACTTCTCAGGGGACCCAGACTCTTCAGAGGCCCCTCACTCTTCAGGGGCCACAGTTCAGGCACAGCTGCAGCAGGTGTTTGAGCGGGACTGGGATTCAGCCTACAGCTCTCCTTTGTCGCACAGCCACAGCTCTGTGAACAGCTCTGTGGACATGTGTGCAGTGTGATACTGCAGCCTCAGGGAGCTCACACCAAGTCCAGTTCAGGGAGGACATTTCTTCTTAGTTCTCAACTCTTCTTATTTGAAGCACTTTTTCATTTTCTCAGGACACTGTGTTTATTTGAGAAGAATATGGCAACCTCTTAATAAAAATATTATCTTCTGTATGTCTCTGCAGTTGTCCTGTTTTTAGAAAATGCATGCTTTGTGACATACTACGCTCAGAAATATGGTCAAAGCAATGAAACAATGAAACAAATGAAACAAGGCCTGATGTTTATTTATTTGAGACAGGGACAGTGCACATTTTTTACATTAACCTTTTTTACAGGAGAGATGCTTGTACCAGGTTGTAGCATCAGTGCTAATTTCCACCTGTAGTCCCTGAGCAGATTCATTGATTGATTGTATTTTACTGACCTTGGCTATCAACTGTTCTTGGAGACCTGTAGCATGTTTTGGGTTTACACCTATACAATAAGTTTCATACGCAAACTATATTGGGAGGCTACCATAGTTTAAGCTTGACACCTCTTCGTTGATGCACAGGCCTATTGGCACACTGTACAGCCCAATCAGACTTGATCCGGGGTGTTGTCGAGGCAACAGTCATGACATTTAAAATATTATGTATTTGTTGTGACATATATGTATGAGTCTTGACCGCTTATCACACTTTACAGTGACTCACTTGGCTGTTGTGCAGTTAAAACTGGCATGCTTCACACTGAAACCCACCATAAAATTTACTTTTTAATGTACTTTTTAACAATAATACTTGAGCATGCCAAAGTACTACAAATGGCACATGAATTTCATAATTTTATCTTTAGAAAGATGTTGTTTATGACAAAGTTGCCATGAAGCCCATTTTGCAGTTTTGAATGTTTTGAAAGCATAAAGTGTCCAGTAGAGGACGCCCAAAGACCACGTATAAACCCAGGTGAAGTCAAAGGTCAAATCAGCATATTCAAAATTTGTGAACCCCATAAGTTCAAGTGTTCACTCCCAGTCACATGCGCTTTATGGCTTCATCTGTTAAAAAAAAAGACTGTTGACTGGTGTTTATGGTTGTTACGGGAAGAGGAAAGCGTCACATTGAGTCCGCTGAGCAAAAACAGGCCAACGATATAAGGCAAGGCAAGGCAAGGCAAGTTTATTTGTATAGCACAATTCGTACACAAAGTAATTCAAAGTGCTTTACAGAATAAGAAATACATTAAAATCATAATAAAAACAAATCAAAACATAAATAATCATGAAGATTAAAATTAAAAAAGAGAGACATAAATTGGAGAGAAGAGTGCGGAATGAAAACCTTTCAGTTATATGCACAGTTAAACAGAAATGTTTTGAGTCTGGATTTAAACAGCGTCACAGAAGAGGCCTGTCTCACATGTTCAGACTGTTCCAGGTTTTAGCTGCATGAACCTGAAACGCTGACTCCCCTTGTTTAGTTCTGACTCTGGGCACCAGCAGGAGGCCGGTCCCTGAGGTCCTCAGAGTGCGAGATGGTTCATATGACACTAACATGTCACAGATGTACTTTGGTGCTCGGCCATGGAGAGACTTGTACACAAGCAGAGCTGCTAAGAAAAATAACTCCGTGGAAATGCATATTTGTGTATTGTGTTTGCAGAAATGGTGTGTAATAAAGATGTAGTTTAGTCTACACTTTTACAAAATAACATCTGGTCTGGTTTAAAGGAGCACTACTTTTTAGATGTTTTTAAACGTTTTTTTTTAGATGTTCCATGATGCTCCATGAAAACCTGCATTCTCACTGTGAGCTGTTTTTTCTCACAGTGAGAAAAAACAGTCCTCTGCTTGTCTAATGCCGTACTGTGGAACATTGCAGGACAGCCAGTAACATCTTCATAGAGACAGATTATGTCTTTCATCTATAATTTTTGGATGTTTTATTGCTTAAGCAAATCAGGTGACAGAAGCTCCATCACAGATGTGGAGTGCATGCCACCTGCTTAGGCCCGGCTCCGAAAAAAACTTACTCTTGGCGCTGTGCGTAAAGCCATTAAATGACAACTCGAGCGCCTTCCAGTCCGAATGAACATGATTCAAAATGATTTCACAAAAGTATTTCAAAAAGCTACTTCAGCGGCGTACATTCTTTGACAGAGCTGCAGCAATGTCTGTCCGCGAACCTGTTCCATCCGGAGCGTGTTTTGTGTTGGCTGGCTCCGCTCTAAGCCCGTGAACAAGGCACAACAATGACCCGGCTTTAGGCGCCGCGCTAAAGTGCTGACTGTCCACTCGCGCTAACCCCTCTATTCTGTCCAATGTGTGGCCCCCGCAGCTCCGCGGGACAGTGGTCAGACGCGCCCGGACACTGCGCGCTCTACCCCCGCTGCTCCACTACTCCACGCCTGAGCACGGCGCACCGGACCCAGCATGTGTGAGTGCCTGCGGGCCTTATTCCGGGTCTCCTGGACACCCTCCTCGGATACAGGTCAGTGGCACCGGGACTCCACCTGTTGAGCTCTTTTGGGGCACAGTTCTTTGGCTTTAAAATATGTTCAAGACTTCGATTACAATTTCAACTTTTTCTCGTGCAGTAAATGTTCTATGGACTTTTAAAGACCCTTTTAAAGAGCCTATATATATTTTGCGTTTCACCCCATGCGCTCAATTATAGCATGTAATTCCAAAAGGCACCACCAGATGGCGACAAACTTGCACCCAGGGGTAGATTGAAATCCTAACGCTGTTTACATGAGCTAAAAACAAATGACACACGCTCTACTGTGATGGACAAATGTACAAGTAAATTGAGCAGAGAAAGGACCAGTGCGTTGAGGGTTTCTAGACTGAACTTCAGGTCAGGGGAGGGTGCTATAGGGTCTGCACCCCCTGTGCTCAGGACCTCAGACCCCTGTGGGATGTCAAGAATAGCCGTGTTTTCAGTTAGGTTAATCATTGGAGATGTAGAGTCTAAAGAAAACGCAGAAATGTGCCATGCAAAGTGCAAAGTGCCTCACTCAGGCTGTGCGCGCTCGTGTGTGCTGGTGTACAGCCCACTGAAACGAGCAATGAAGCATAAGCATACAAACATGCAGGCTATTCACAGAACTCCATATGTTTGTGATAAAGAAACAACATTCTGGTTAAAGCCTCAGTGCGGGGTGGATGTAAGCAGTGCACCTACTCTCTACCCATCACCAGAGGGAGCCAATCTCTGCCCTGCTCTTTGTGGGTACAGGTAGTCTCCAGGCTCCATACTGTTATTCTTATTGAGTTATATATTGTTCAGTGTAACAGTACTTTTACTCGAGTAAAAGTCGTGGTTCCTCTTCCCACTGTAAGTAAGTCTTACAAGACAAAAGCTTAATGTGACAATGTGAAAAGATTTGAACATTTGTGATTGTTGCAGCTCCTTCAAATTTGATTTAGCGTGTCTCATTTTGTTTATACTATACTCACTTCACTTAAAAAGTCATTTTGGGCTACATTCTGACTACTCCAGATGCCCTTTTTTCTGGATTCCTGCACTGAGCCCCGTCACAGACTGAAGATGTCTGCAGGGGCGTCTTAGAGCAGCATGTTCTTGTCTGTTTTGGAGGATCTGGCTGGACTTCCTAAGGTTTGTCACTTTGGCAGAGGTCAGAGGTCCAAGATATCTGCCCCTCCTAGGGTCATCCTTCCCTCCAGCCCGCCCTGCATGCCCTAATATGGAGGAGATGTGTCTGCCCCGTGCCCAATCAGGAGGTGGTATGTGCGCATACTAGTGCCCTGGTCAGAACTGGGAGGTAGCGGTCAGAAGGAGCAGGTCAGCTGGACAGGACAGAGCTCGGAGGGGCCACTGCGACTGCACCACCCACAGAGGGGCATGTGAGGAGGACAATACACACTTTTCAACTACAGTACTACTTTTGAAGGTAAGTATTTGAAAACATCTGAGCATACAGGAGTAGTACTCAGTTATTAAATCAGTTACATTTACTTGAGTAACCTTTATGTTGCTCAGAGTACTTTTACTCCTACCTATATTTCTCTTACCTGAGTAAAAGTTGTGCTTCCCTTTTCCACTGTGCATAAGTCTGCAAGTGACAAAATCTTGATTTGACAAAATGATTTGAACATTTGTGTTTGTTGCAGCTCCTTCAGATCTGGTTTAGTTTGTCTCATATTTGTGTCTGTCTTGTGAAAACTTCAGATTTTGTGACTTATTTAATGTTTTCAAATTACTTTCACTTTAAATTATAAAGCAGATGTCACGTCTCTCCAGTTACTCCTTAGTTAGTCTTACTTGAATACAAATTTTCTCTGATACTTTGTTACTTTTTCTTGAGTAATTTTTCAGACCACTTCTTTGTACTTCTACCTGAGTAAAATTCTTTTGAAGTAGGTTACATTACTCTTACTTGGGTAAAAAAATTTTGGCTACTCTACCCACCTCTGCTCAAACTGAATACTTTTTAAGACAATAGAATGTGATTTTCAACATCAAATGCTAGTATTTTCTTTTCCCTTCCCATATGGCCTTTTATGTGTGTAATCCCTTAGTGGTCCAGGTGCAGGAGGTTCCATAGTGGTCCTGTTATACTTATATACAGCTCAAGATCTAAAGCTATTGTGTAACAGTTCATTTGTGTCCTGTCAATGTGACTTTTTCAGTATCAATACCTCATCAAATGAACATCTACTTTCTATGCTGGGTTTAGTATGATTATAATCTGATTTTCGATACTTTTGACAACCTTTGACAGCTCGTGCGAACCCAAATGTCAGTCCATGTGTTTTGCGGCTCATCTGTGGAGTTGTGGCTGCGGTGGGCATAGTTGTTGGTGCACAATAGTGTCCTGTTTGTGTGCTGTGTGTGCGCTGTGTGTGCACTGTGTGTGCGCTGTGTGTGCGCTGTGCAGTCAGCTGGCCCTGTGTTAGGGGACACTGAGGTATTCACACTATTCACAGGAACTATTTGCAGCGTGGTATGTCACTATGGGTCCAAGTGCAGCCATGTTTTGTAACCAGAGCTGGGTCCCTGGACACATTTTGAGCCTGGAGCGCACGCTAGCGATGCACTTTTAGACCAGGTGGAGGTGGTTCGGTGGCAGGGAGCGTCCATCTGTTGGAAAAATCATCAACAAGTTTTCACTCTTCTTAACAATCTCTCTTTTTTTTTATTTTACTTAAAAAAGGATCAAAATAT